GGGGAAAATAAGTAGAAAGATCCCAAATTGATCTCACCCCAAAAAATTTGAATCGAAGGAAACCATTTTGGACAAAAGTGCACACAAAAAGCGCGTTCATTTCTCACAGACACAGCACACACACACACCGCCATAGCCATCGTAGCTTAGCTGTGGAGTAGTGAAGAGGCTGTACATTTACACAGTGTAGGCAGAGCGGCAAAGGGAAAAGGCTAAGTTCTTGAAATAAAGGTACAAGCTTTTGTCCAGATGTTTTTTCTCTTTGTTCATCAGAAAATCTTGAATGAAAAGGTTCTGTCTTGACTGAGTTTAAGCTTGCAATATTTATTAGTTGTCTTGGGTTTTAGGAAAAAGAGAGTACACCATCAATGAGAATCTCTTCTAGTTAATGGGGGTTCTTTCTTGATATTTTTGGGTGTTTGTTTAAGGGATTCAGATTTGATATGGGTAGACACTGAAATAACAATCTTTGAAAGTTGTGAAAGTTTTGAGGTGGGTTTATAATCACTTTATCCATCCTTTTGAAGTCTTCTTGAATTCGAAGAATGGCAGGTGGGTTCGACCACTTTCTCGTCTTCTATGGTTTTCTTATAGTAATCTTTCAGAAAGTTTCGATCTTTGCAATCATATTGCAGGCAAATCTTTGTGCCATAGCATGTACTTGATAGAAAGGTTTCGCATTGTGTGGAAATCTATTTCCGGAAATCTTCTTTTGGTCAAATTTTAATTCAAACTCTCCCTCGACCTTTCCAGTTTTGTAAAAAATGGGACGAAGCTTGAGCCCAGTACTGCGCCAGGAGCTTGAGAATCTTGACAAGGACGCTAATAGCCGAAAATCAGCCATGAAAGCTTTGAAATCGTACGTGAAGGACTTAGATTCAAAGGCAATACCTATCTTTCTTGAACATGTATCTGAAACAAAGCAAACCGGTATATCATCCGGGGAGCACACAATTTCACTGTACGAGGTTCTTGCTCGAGTTCACGGACCGAAAATTGTCCCTCAAATAGATAACATCATGAACACGATCGTCAAGACCTTATCCTCGAGTGCAGGAGCTTTTGCTCTTCATCAGGCTTGTTCAAAAGTGGTTCCAGCTATAGCTCGGTATGCAATTGAACCAACAACAGCAGAGGATAAGAAGAGACATATTATTCACTCTCTGTGCAAGCCTCTCTCAGATTCTCTTCTGGGTAGCCATGAAAACCTCTCTTCCGGGGCTGCCCTTTGTTTACAGGCGCTGGTTGAATCGGATAATTGGCGGTTTTCTTCGAATGAAATGATCAATGAGGTATGTCAAAGGGTTGCAGGGGCTTTAGAGAAGCATTCACAAACCAATTCTCATATGGCATTAGTGACAGCTTTAGCTAAACACAATAGCTTAATTGTTGAAGCCTATGCTCGACTGTTGGTACAGTCTGGACTTCAGATTCTGAATGCTGGTTTTGCAGAGGCAAATTCTCAAAAACAGCTGTCAGCCATTCATATGGTGAGTTCATTAATGAGATGTTTGGACCCGAAAAGTCTGTTATCCGAACTGGATTTGGTAATTAAGGAAATGGAGAAGTGTCAGTCTGATCGAATGCCATTTGTTACTGGGGCTGCTTTTGAAGCGCTACAAATTGCAAAGAAAATATGTGCTGGGAGAAAGAATGTTTGTAGTTCTGGGGACCAATCGCCTTATTTTGCTGCATCACCCGAGTCGCAAACTGTCGATTCGTTTATGAGGAATGATTATTTTATTGAGTCGGCCAAGTCGACGAATCATGGCCGTCGAGTCGATTATGATTGTAAAAATGTGAACCGTAGACTTTGGCAAAGGTCTGGCAATGGAATCATGGACGTGTCTCTCAAAGACGGCATATTCTCAAATATAGCTCAAGGAAATGATAAAACGAGCTCTGAGTGTGATGGCCTTTCTCAAAATTACGGAGATTATGCTGATGATAACTTTTCGGGTTTTCTTCTGGGGAATGCTGAAAATGGAGATGTTAGAAGCAGTACTCCGAGTCCACAGGTACGAACTCGTTTTGTTTGGGTTTTATTAGAATACATGCTTGGATCACAGTTCATTTAAAAGGGATTAAGATGTGAAAAGTAGTACACAATTTGTATTGCACGACATTTTTTTTAAGAATGGGTTCCCCATACACTCTGGTGGGTATCAAGTAAAATCTATGAAGACACTCTTTTTAATCTTAAAGTTCGAAACTTGGATAATATCTAACATGAATGGCTAAATTATGAAACTGTTAGCATATGATGCAAATAATATTCTTCGAAATAAACTTTCAATATTTTTTTTTTTTTTTGAAGCACTAATAATTCTTCGAAATACACTAAAAATTTCGATTACTAATTCTTCGAACTTCGTATTTCATAATGCATCCTCTTATATTTCAGCGGTTAAGCTCTCACATAAACGTTGATGACGTGAAGATCTTCACTACCCCAAGAAAACTCATTCGCTCACTTCAGGATCTAGAAGATTCTGATTCAACTTTCTCCAAAGGGCAAGACTTGAGGTTCAGAAGGACTCTTGCATCACTGCATGAACAAAATGGTCCTTTTCGGGACATAAACCGTGTGAATGGTGGAGACAGATTTTTTCCTCAAAATAAACTCCATAGCCGTTCGGAATCAGTTTCTTCTACAGAAAATGTGTCTGGAGATAAGAATCTAATATCAGCTACTGAAGTAGTTCCAGTAAATAAAGCTCGATCGGAAAGAGTCCACACTCGCATGATCTCAGCCCGCAACATTATTGTTTATGTTCTTTTTGCAGTTCTATCAGCACTACTTTTGTGTTTGCTGCTAATAGGTGATCAAGATAATCGAGACATTCTTGTCCCGACTTAGGTCTGTTCCATTCATGTTATTTCTGATCTTTGCCGAGCTTTAGGAAATATATACGAACAATGTGTCGAGTTGGTGCAACAGTTTGTGATCTGTTTTTTCGGTATTCGGATATTGTTATCATTCATTTTGCTCCTTGTAGGAAATTATTTCTTCAACAATTTTCTTAGAAGGAAAATGAACAGAAGAATGACAATGTCTTTTTTTTCTTTTTTTTGTTTAAAAAAAATATCTGATATGTGATATGCAAACTCTCACTGTGCAGCAGCTAGAAAGTATTCCCAATCCCTCTCCTCTCAGAAGGGAAAAACACAATTAACAAATTCACCACAAACCAAACCACCATCCGACCCAAATCCATAAACTCTCTCGACAAAACCACACGATAACAGCTAACCACATCTCTATTCAGCAATGCAAATGCAAGAAACGCAATCAACGAAAGCAATACACGAAACAAATCGCCCCATCTCAGTCTATAATCTGAAAGCTCGTGTGGCTGATGCCCACCGAACGTCCTAATCCCATGGACTGTCGCTACACCATAGCACAATCTCCCATTGGCCATCCGGAAGCTGTCTGTGATGGGAAAAAATGCGGATAAGGCGGCTAAAATGGCTGTGAAGCCGCTCGTCAGCCACTGGTCCAAGGCCGTGCACCGGCCGTTTTTCGTCAGAAAAGGGGCGAAAACCATGAAGAAAATGATTGTGGGTGCCAGCTGGAGGGCATTGAGCCGGGCGGGCCAGCTCAAGATTGTGTTTACGATAAGCGTGCATTTGGAGTTGTTATTATCATGGTCTTGATTGTGAGATTCGAAAAAACCGCAATCGATGAAATCGTCTTGATCGTAGGATATGTAGTGTTCGGTCTCGCTTTCTGTGTTTTCTTGCAGATGTTGGAGAATTCTTTGCATTGTAACTTGTGTAACAATGTGAAGATTTTGATTTTGTGGGAAAATGGTTTGTTTGTTGAGGGCTTAGTTAGCAGTTTGTATTTATAAAATGTTGGATGTTGAATGAGATTCCCAATAACATTAGCTAGGAATAGAATGATTCTTTTCTTCAGTGTTCCTGCAAGAAAAGGTATCATTTTGGAAATTCAAAGTCATTTTCATTTTCAATCTGTAAGTTTTAGTTTATAATACCAACAGAATAGAGGTGAGCAAATGCGCGATTCAATGCAAAAACCGCACCAAACTACAAAAATCGAAAAACTAAAGTCTTAAAATTTTCAAACCGATGCACTAGAAATAATCGAACCGAACAGAGGTTGTACCGAGCAGAAACATTGTGGTTATCGAACCAAAGCCAAATAATAAAAAAAAAAAAAAAAACTGCACTAAAAGTACCGAATTGCATTATTCGACTCGGTTTTGCTCGCCCCTACAACATAACATTTTTTCTTTGACATATATAATTTAAGGACGTACACACTTGATGACTTTGAATAAGGACTCTTGACTACAAAATCAACATGAAGCCCGTGCAACTATTTATACTTTTAATATATGTCACCTATCTTTGTGACCATACAAAATAGCTTCAACACTTAGATGGATTTACTTTTTCTTTTCTTTATTTTTCTTTTAATAATTGTGGCAATTTTTGGTTTTTGTTCATCTTTATCAAAGAACACATTTTAACCATCTTCAACAAATTCACACAAACCCCTACTCTCACATTCTGGTTTATATGATGGCTGAACAATCTGACAGGGCCAACCGATTAACCGGCATAATCCATAGGAGTTCGCAAATCCATAATCTATACGATTACGCAAAGCCAGTACCGAGAACCAGGTACGTACATACATATGACTACTTTCGTCCCGTCTGGTGATCATAAAGAATTTTTAAGGCTTAATCGTAACAGGAGTCGAAAACTGAAAATCACATTTGAATCGACAGGTTTGCGCAAGAACTGAATATTTTGAACTTCCACAAAAGGAAATTGCCAAAAAGATATGATTTTTGCCAGAGATTTAAGGTTGGTCCTAAATGATTCTCTCTCTGTGTTTTGTTAAAACAATATCACGGCTCGTCTTCTGCCTAACGGTTAGACCACCTCATACAAGAATTTGTGATCAAACAGACCATAGCCAGCATATGTGAGTAAATTATATATTTCCACTGCAAATATCAAAAGTTACAAGAGCTGCACAAGAGTGCCATTTTATACATTCTTCCCAAATAAATAAATATAAGTACATCAAATGTGTATCCTAGTTTTATATATTCTATAACCTGTAGAAGGTTGCAAAATACCCTCACAACTTTGCTTTAAAAAAAATAATAGCAGGACTAGAGGGAACATACATACCATATTCAATCAACTATACAAACCCTACATAAATATCCAATTATGTAAAATAACTTCAGATTTGTGACGCCATGAACCCGTTTTGTTCGCCATTATTATATGGAGGAGATTTGAACGAGCCACCTTCATTTTTCACTTGGCTGGCACGAGTAGTAGTAGTAGTAGTAGTATCCTTATCTGGATTGGCTCGTTCAATGCATTTTGCATTAAACGAGCTATTTCCTTCAGTGGGGCCGCAAAGCTTACAAGGGTTGGAGGATCTTCTAGAACACCAATGATCGGGGACACTCAAGAAATGGGTATCGATGAATTTTCTGAACCGTTTTTTGTATTCTTTTGGGGAGATTATGGTCGGCAACTGGTTTTTAGGCACGACAAGTGACGATTTGACCCAGTTTTCGAGCTGTTTGTCCCATGTATATTGCCTGAGATAATCGATGATGCCACACACCAGTTCTCGATTTTTAGTGTCGACTCCAACGAGAAGGGAGTAATCCATAACATTGATCGACTGGAGAAAAAAAAAATAAAAAAAAATGTACAGCGTAATTGCGTAAGGAAAGAATGCATAGAGTAAGATGATACTGGTTAAAAATTCAAGCTTTCGAGAATTCAGTGCTTGTGTTACATTAATAGGATATTTTGAAATTTTTAAAAGGAATTCTCTTTAATCAAGACAGAACAAGTTTGGATATATTATCCAAATGGGTTAGCTCCATCTATTAACCGTTTACATCAAAGTTAAAGATTTCACAGGTTGGTATGAGTTTTCTAAAGATGCGATTTTTTTCAGTAAAGTATTCACTTTTTTTTTGGAATCTTTGGGGACTTTTTTTTATATAAACCCGTTTATTCTTCCTTCAAAAACTTCTATTTAGTTAATTCATTTCTTTCTGCAGATTACGGGTGAATATCTGTACACTGGTCAAGAGTATTTTCGAGATTTGAAGGAGTTTTGAACTTTGAAGCACTCACATTGAGGAAATTAGTGTCGTTATAAACAGCTCTCTGAAGATTACGCTTCGATTTCCTACTGACATAAAGTGGCGAGACGTTCATATCGTTCACGAAGTTTTGGTCCAAGAGAACATCGCCAGCATCACTGCCAGCCGTATTGAGTCGAGCGTGAAGGGCCCCTTTGAGGTCATACTGTCTTGCTATCTGTCGTCCGAACGAAAGATTCTCCATCACCAGAAGATCGTGCCTCGCCTCTTTCCCGTTTTTTGCTCTTATGACAACCTGAAAAGGTATACAGTTCGGAATTAATGGCACAAAGGCAGGTTTTTTTTCCTTAACTGCAAATATACCCTTGATTTTTAGTCCAACTACAAAAAGTCAAAAACACAGACACATTTCAAAATTACAGGCACACACATCACACACATTCAAGCTATTTCTATATATTCAATAATCTCAATGAGTTATTTTTTTTTTTTCTTTTTCTATTGGTTAATCACAAAACTGAAGGTTTGTGTCAATATGAGAAAGCTTAGCTAATTTTGGAAATTATGAAAACACCCTTAAGGTTTGAATCAGCTTCCATTTTTGCCCAAACATTTGATGACTTGACAAAATTTGCTGAAGTAATTATATAAACAACACATTTGAGATGTTAGAAAAGTGCCGATATTTCATCAGAGGCTATTTGTAGTTACTAAAAATTCAGAGGGATGCAGGTGAAAGATGGAAAATGTATTCGATTGTAGCATTTTACAAAAATGAGTTATAATCGTCAATATATGATTTTACTTCAACTTCTGTTAGCTCCACTAATGACACTAACAACTCATGCAAGATGGATATAGAACCTCAGCAGCAGTTGTAATTTTCGAAATTAGAGAAAATCGAAAATAACAGGGGAAAAAGGCTCAAACGAACCTGGTATATCCCAAGAATCTTAGCTAGACACGTCTGATTTCCTAGCTCGTAACACTGCCTCATGTACTCAAAGTAGTTCCCCGCAAACTTCACGAACGAGTCGAACTCTGTCCTCTTAATCTCCTTAATAATAAACCTATCGTCCAAAGTTTTTGCGAAAAAAGACTTGCTCTTTCCCCCCTTAGCATCCCAATTCCTACAACGGCTCAAAGATGCAATGTAATCGACCTCCGAAGCACAACACCGATCCCTCAGCTTCTGGAACTCACCCGCGTACACACACACGACCGAGTACTTACGTGTGCCCACATTTTTACCCGACCCCATAGAAACTTCCGGATGACTTGCACCGTAAGAAACCAAAGATTCCAACAAATCTAAACTGTCGAAACTCGACGAGTGTAATTCTCCCGAAGAATTCGAGGGGGGTGATTGGACAGCATCCGAGTTGAACGAGCCGAAAGAGGACCAATGAGGGGAGGCCAACGAGTATGCACGGGGCAGGGTTTGCGACGAGTCCTCGGCTAGATTTTCGGTTAAAGATGGCCCGTCTTTCAGTAAAGAGAGAGCACATGCAATTATGCTCGAGAACTCATCTTCATAATCGGACACAATATGGTTGTTCGAGCCGAGGGGGATGTGAAGTCTCGAACCTTCGTCTGAAATCACTTTCCGAGCCGTGGATTCTGAAGCGTAACTATTACACAGCTCGAATTTCGGGAGGTGCCCTTTTTGGAGCTCCTCCATGTATTCACGACGTATGTCGGAAAAAGGTGCCCAGATGCCGTGATTGCATCCTAGGATGTCTGATTCCATTGGTGTATCGACTTTTTCCTGTTCGAAGTTTGTCTCGACGGTATTGAAATTCTCTTCGGCAGTTGATTTGATTGGAAAATCGTGAAAAGATCCATTTTCGTGAGAATTTTCAGTAGTTGGAGTTAAAACATTGTGTCCGTCGATAGGAATTTCTTTAACAGGAAAATCATTGTTGTCGATAAGTGCCTCCTCCGATTTAGTTTCAGATTCAAGAACGCTTTCTAGTTCACTGGCGTGTTTTTTATCCTCATCGAGTGTACCTTGATCTACTGCTAGTGAATTAGAATCAATAACTATGAGATCAGATGAGATAAGCGCGTGCAATCTTCGATCCCATACGCAAGATTCCAGAAGAAGGTCCAAGCGTATTCTATTCAAGTTTAGAAGTTTACTCATGGCATCATCTTCACCTCCGTTCTTAGATACATTTTGAATCTCCACCTAATATAATATTTGCACCAACCGTAATCAGATAAGTGAACAAATTCCTTTCGAGAATGCAAAGAGAAAAAGAAAGAAGTTTTGATTGAATCAAAGCAGAAAAAAGTAAAGGTATTAGCACTTTAAGTTAGCTGACCTCAAATTGAGATTTTTCCATCTTCAGCATGTCCACGATATCAGAAAACTCCTTCCTTGAACCTTGAATATTCAGAGTGGCCCCAATATATCTATTTTTGAGGTCCATAAGAGATTTTTCTATCTCGAGAAACATCAAAATCCCTTTTCGGTAAACCTTTAAAAAGACAAAAACACCTGTCAGAACGATTTAAGGGATAATTGGCACGTTCAATAATTACAACAAAAAATATCACAATATTTTTACAAAGAGGTGCCTACATTCTCCGAATCTTTCTTGAGAAACTCTTCTTTGACCGTAAAGCTAAACTCCAGCCTTTGTGGTGGCAGAGACACTGAATAAGTCACGACAGTTGAATACTTAAACATCGCAACCATGGGGCCCAGTCTGCAAGTTACCAAAGGAGGTGTGAATATCAATTAATATTAAAAGAAAAAAAAAAAGACAAATAATAAGGGCAGTATTTTACAAAATAATTATAGTGTAGTAGAAGTATTAATAGAGTTAAATGTGTACCCGAAGAAGTAGAGGAAATCCTTATGGAAAGAATGGCCGCAGTTGGAGAGGCTGTTGAATGAAGAGTGGTTTGAAAAACTGAGCTCCAAAAACTTTCCGAAAGACAAACCACGAGCTGCACTTGATATCAACACCCTTTTCGTAGATTTCGAGCTCCCGTTATGAATTTTACACCGGCCACAACGGCTCCACATCCAAAGCTTGCCTTCATTTTCACCCGGCAGACTCTTTTTTGCAGGAAGATGCCGAACTTGTATTGTGAGTTGCTTGTTATGATGCGCGTAGTAGAAGAAGTGCGCCTCTGGGGGTTCACCACAGGTCTTGCACTCTAGTCTCTGGAGAGAGAGAAAGAGAGAGAGAGAGAGAGAGAGAGAGAGAGAGAGAGAAGATATTTCTTACTATTTCACATTTTATTGGATGTGTTCTTACTTGAGATGGGAAAATTGGCAGTAACTCAAGAATAATAAGTGAGGGGTCCCAATGAATAACCTGATTGAGTAAATTATCTTGCAAGAACTTTCCAAGAGGCACATCAAAACTCTTGTAGAACTTAATATGAGAAAAATGGCTGTGCTCACAAATCGTCCCTTGTGAAGCATTGCGGCTGGACATCAAAACCAGAATACTCTCGGAATCTAAAACAGAATTTATCTCATCCTTGCTCTGTGTTCGATCTTCTTCCTCACCGGAAATCTGAATAGCCTGTTTGGTTTGACAGCCATTTTCTCCATCGGGCAAAATAGGAAAACTTTCATTCATGACTTTTTGAATAGATGTCGAGATAGATAACCCCGGAAAAGTTTCTGGATGACACTCGTTGAACGATAGTGAAGAATTGCTTTTGGGGGAAGAAATTAGCTTCTGTAGCTCTATTTTATGGAACCCGTTTGAAATCGGAATATCAAGAGTAAGTGACGTGTCGGATTTTTCTGCATCAGGTTGATTTGGGGGAAAAGTGGTTGCAGCCTCATTTCTGACTAATGTCACTTGTTCGTCTGTCAGGGTAAAATCGAGGATTTCAGAAGGAGAAATCGTGGAGAACATCGCAGTCTGATCGAGTAGGAAAGAAGTCTCCAGCATCAAATGATATGCCATTACAACCGCACAACGAATTACACATTTGATTCTTTTCAGTTCATCACTATTAGCTCCCATCAGCAAAATCTGTGTATTATGTTAATAATTCAGTGATTAAATAACAATGACAATAGTAAAACACTCGTTAAAAAATTATTATTGCATAAGCAATCATGCGACAGCTAGAAAGACATTCAAAACCAAAATAACATGAATTTCAAAGTAAAACGATGTGGCAAACAATTTGAAGTCGATAAAATTTCTAATGACACACAACTAGGTGATTTCTCAATTTATCCTTCTAATATGCCAAAATTGCATATTAGTACGTGAATAAAGGTTTTCAGCGAACCATATGCAGAGTGAAAGATAGAAAAAGATGCAAAGATCAAAACTTTCCTATAATCTATTGTAACGACATGCCTACTTTCAAGAATGATAAATTAGGTAAACAAATACTCACCGTACATCCAAGACGACTAGGGGCACCCTCGAGGAACATCAATGTTTTACTTTGTTTTTTCCCAGTTTCTGTGCTAAAAGCATGTTCCTCTACAAACTTCTCTATACGAAAGGACTCACACTGTCTTAGCTTTTGACCAATAGCGACCTCCGTGGCCAAGATAGGCGAGCCAATACAACGAGCAACCCTCTCTAATCGATGAAGCTTCATATCAAATACCAATGTGATCCCTTTCGCGAGAATAGACTCTTGTATGTCACGAGAAACAGATTTTTCGACCAAAATAACGTTAGGATGGTACATATCTATCATCTCAACAATGGATTTTAGGCTATCCTTATCCTGTCAATAGAATAGATGATCAAAGAAGACAAAACGGATGTTAGCACGGATATACTCGGCGCATTCTGATCAGAAAAGGGATACATTTTTTTTTTCAGTTCACCTGCTGCATTGATTCGAATGATGACAATCCACCAGAAGAAAGATCAAGTGAGCCGTGGATTAGCAACAATCTGGGGTTTTTGTACTTTGTCGGCATATGCTTGTGGGCAGCATGCTTTTTGAATACCAGCCCTTTGATTAGTTGACTGCATCATCATTAAATAGGATTTAAAAGTCAAGACACATACACAAACTAAAGGGAGAAAGAGGTTGACTGTGAAAAGCCTAAATTTCACTTTAAGCCTTGAGGGTGTTTGAACATAAATGGGCTTAAATAATTACTGTAAGTTAAGCCATTTATGAAAAAACCAAAATAACATATTTCTTGAACACATGATATATCATAACATCTATAATGAATTAAGAAGAAAAAAAAAATCTTTTAAAATGTTGCGATGAGTATTCCATATTATTCAAGGAAACCAAATTATGGATCTATATTACAATATCCTGCTACTTAACAAGTGGGGAGTGTGTAAGTGAATCAGTAACTTTCACGAGCCATATCAGAGGAGCTCAATAGAGCTTGTCGCCTTGTACTGAGTCAACCTCCAAATTATAGCAAGCAGCTTCTTTTTTTTTTCATTTCAACCCCACACTTGCTTGAAGCATAAATGAAAATTCTGTAACTCAACAAAACTATCATTTAATCTTTTTGTAATTGTCCCAAAATTATTATTACCTTTGAGTTCGAGAACCGGTCGCCACACATTTAATCTTCACATACCCATCGGGGTCCATTGCCTTACCCTCATGTGAGTCCGGTTTTACAAAAGCAGCTGCCTCCCAAGACAAAGCAGTCACTATATCAACCCAATTCTCACCTTCATCTACAAAATGATCATCAATACCCACCGATTTTATCAATTGACTCACGAGGGCCTTAAATTTCCCATTCTTAACATCCTCCATGGCTTTAGTTTTTCCCTCCTTGTGCCTGTAACTTCCACTCCCTTCATCTTCAAAGTTGCTCAAAGAGCTCGTTTTGGCCCAATCGCCACACTCGTCATCATCATCCTCGTAGTTCGATATGCTCCCGGTTAAGTCATCTTCACTGTCTTCTGGCTCGGGAGGTAGCCAAAATTCGTCATCCACTTCATCATCGGGAGAAGAAGTGGGACCCGAGCTTTCAGTGTCACTAATTTCCTTGGCATCGTGTTTAGATGTTACATGAAAACCATTTACCGATGAATTGTGATTCTCGTGAATACTGCTGTCTGTGCTGCTGTCCTCCACATCTCGCCTGATAGGAATGAATGAGAAAGATAAGCTTTGCCCAGAAGTTGGAAGTATAAAAGGTATTTCAAAATTCAAAAGGAAAAATGTAGGCATGTTTGGGTTTCTTTCCAGAAGAGTGCCTTTTCAGTTTATGTTAAAGCCTCACAATATGTTTAAACGCAAAACCCAAAAACGATTTACGACTAAACCTTCTATCCAAACATATTTTCTCTCTCACATAACAACTAAAATAATTGCAAATTTCGCTCGAGAAAATGACAACTGAAAGTAAATTTTTGAATTGAAAACCAAACAAGCCCTATAATATTCTTTTTGAACAAACAAATAGCATAAAGAGGTGAACTTTATACCGGTCACCAAAGTTCGCATCAACTGGTATATCACCTGAAAAACAAAGCTATTAGTGGTAGAACAGAGAGATAGAAAGAGAAATATTGATGGCGGAAAACAAGATTACCACAGCTTGATAGAGAACTTCCACTGCTACTTAACGTGGCAGTGGAACTAGATGATTTCATTGTGTAAGAACTGGAATTTTCTTGATTCTTAGTGTTTTGATAATTCTTTTCAGCACAAAGCTTGCAAGATTCGATAAAGTGCTCGCTATTTAATTCCACAAAAGCATGTCCATTTTCCTGCTCTGTGCAGTTACTCAATCCCGTAAGCTCCGCACCACAATAATGGCACATATTACATCCAAACCACGCTCCGCCTGCGTATGCAATCAAAATAAGTACATAATTCAACCTACTTTGGAAAAAAGGACTGAAAATTACACTCTCAGCACAGCCACTTAACACACATCCTTGAGAGGGGGAAGAAGATAATCACGGAAATTAGTTATACAACTCATAAATCGATGAAACTTCTTGGTTATATGCAACCGCTGGTATCAGAACAACCTAATCCTTTAGTTGGATAATTTATCAAATTCATACTACGCCAAAATTTTATACAATTCATACTATCAAATCCTCAAACCATCAGTGAAAAATGAAAGCATAAGGACTTAATGGAACAAATAACATACAATTACGCCAAGACCTAAAGAGTTAAATCTGGAAATTTAAAACGAAAATCATCTGAACACAGTAGCACCCAAAACCAACAAAAAAAAAAAAAAGTTAAAGACCCTGATAATTTTTTTGCAATAAAAATCGAGTCTTGATAAATCTTGAATTACAAGCCTCATGAACGCACAGCAGGAAACAAGTATCAACCACCAAAAAATTGCCAATTAACTCATAAAAGGGCTAATTCTTTGACTCTCCAGTCAACATATTGTTCAGTAATTTAGAGCAACAAAATTTTCTAACATAAATCATAAATTTAACAAGAATCGACCAACATCACAACTGCAACAGCTGATTCAAAAAGCGGGGGAGCTTATCATCTCAGAAGGTTTAAAAAGAGAATCAAGAGAGAGAGAGTGGGAGAGAGGGAGAGAGAAAGAGAGAGAGAGAGAGAGAGAGAGAGAGAGAGAGAGGATTGTAGATAGACCCTACTGTTGAACAAATCCCATGAAGAAGAAAACATTACCTCGAAAGATCAACGAGGAATATTTTTGCCTTAAGCCACTCTTGAGAGAGCCCAGATTATATTCCTTGTGTTCAAGAAGCGGTGATTTGAAAAGCTTTGGACATTCAAGAATACTGTTAGTCAGAGAAAATGGGGGCAGCAGAGCAAAGAAATTTAGGAGTGGTTTGAAGAAAGTTTGAAGAAAGAGAGAGACAAATATGAAAAAGCAAGCAAGAAAATGTTTCGTCTCCAAACTGAGGGCCCACATAGCCTTTTGGTTGTGTTTACTGTTTACTGCTAAATAAAAAAATTTAAACTCTTTTTTCTTAATTTTTTTTTTCATTTTTATTTTTTTGTTATAAATAAGAATTTTTATATATGATTTTGTGCACTAATACTAAATAGTTATTGTGTTAACTGGTTTGTTTAACCAATAGATTCAATTAACCTTTGATAAATGGTAAAAAATTATAATTATTACTTTAATTAATTATATTTTCCCTAAATGTTGCTTTTTTATTTTATTTTTTTATTTTTCTGGTAGCCAGCCACGGTATCCGGAGCTATGCCCCGATTAATCCGTTGGTTGAACCGGATCGCACATCTGGCAGTGATGAGTGAGTCTCCCAACAGGAGTTTTTTGCACCACAAGGACTCAAACTCGAGACCTTACTTAAACGGCATCAAACTGTTTACCACTTGAGTCAACTTTTGTTAGTTATTTTTTTTATTTTTAGAATCATTGTTTTGTTCCGAAAAAATAATCAAATAATCTCATTGTAAATCCACTAAATGAATTTTCAATTCATTAGTTTAGGACAAAATCGCTAATAAACAAGTTAAATGTGGTGAAATATTCACCATATATATGCAAAGTTGTTGTGTGGTATATTGATTTATTTATTTATTATGCAATTCTGAAATATTATTATTTTTACATCTAGGGTGGGTACATTGAAATAAATATTGCAATGAATGACAAATATTTTTTTTTCAAGATTTGGTGAATCATTATTGCCTTGAGATACTATAGCATTTTGGACTAGTAAATTTAATTGTGTTCCTAATTGCTCTAATCTTACTAGTAATTAAATTTATTAGTGTTCCTAATTGCTCTAATCTTATTTGCCCTTTTCTCCTAATCAAATGTCTATGTATTTTAGCTAATAATTCCTGTAATCTCATTTCATTTCACTTTTCCTTTATTGTAATTAGATAAAATCAATGGTATGTGGATTGTTAAAAGGCAATAACATTCTAAAATGAATTATGCATACACAATCTTGAAATAAAATAGAAAATTTACCCACCCCACCCTATTCTAAAGTCGATTTTTTTACTATTTCTCCTCTTTTTATTTTTCAATACAATCAGGTGTGAAATTGAAGGCGAGTTAGATTTCAAACTTTTGATTCTTAAGTTCGGACTCGAACATTTATCGAGTCAAATCAAGTTGAGTCGAGCTCACAAGCAGTTCATTTCGTTTAACAATTTATACACAATTAAATTTTTTTTTTTTTACAATGTCACATGTCTCATGTTTGGTCATAAGTGGTAACTCGTTATATTAAGTCGTGTTCGTGTTTTATTCTCTTGTTTTTGTATTATGTATTTTATTTGCACATAATTATGTTTAGATTTAACTAATTTATTTATTTCTTATCTTTTCACGTCGTGACGTGTCCTTTGCGTCATATATCTTTATGATGTATTTTTAAAATATATCATATTGTGTTCGTATTTCATGTTGTGTTAGACCATATATTTGGTATGTTATACGTTGTGAATGCTTTTATCTGATATGTATTGCAGCATTCCCGCCACCAACACGGCTAATCGGGTTTGACATAATGTATTGGGGTTTTTTAGAGAATGGATGTTTCACCACAAAATCGGCCTACTTGTCGTTGGTTGAAACTCATCCGATAACTGACCGACTATTATGGCGAGTTACATGGAAATGGATGGGCCCACAACGAATCCGCCAATTTATTTGGCTTGCTGCTCAAGAGAAACTCCTAACTAACATTGAAAGGCGACAACGACATCTCACTGGGGCGTCTACGTGTACTCTGTGTGGGCAACACGATGAGTCGACCCTACACTGTCTACGAGATTGTGTAGGAGCTAAGCAGGTTTGGCTAAGCTTGATTTCGGCTAACCATTATTCTGATTTTTTTTCACATGCCATGAAGAGATTGGTTGATCCAAAACTTGCAAAATGGGCTGGCCATTAGGGTAGTTGGTTGGGAAACGGTTTTTGTGTCACCGTGTGGCAAATCTGGAAGGGAAGAAATGAAAAGATTTTTTCAGATAAGGAGTTCGTTGTGGATGTAAAAGTTCGGGAGGTACGCTCTTTTGTTCATGGAATCAAAGCTAGCTACCTCGGCCGGCATACACTTGGGCGGTCTCGACAAGGAGCGTGAAGTCCACTTCATTCGGTGGGAAGCCCTGCAGTTGGAGTCGTTAAAAATTAAAATCAATACAGACGACTCCCTTTTGATTGCTCTGGAATGACGGCAGCCGGGGGGTTGCTTCGTGATACCTATGGGAGATGGTTTGGGGGGTTTGTCATGAATATCAGTTTTTGTTCTATAACTGGTGCAGAGCTGTGTGGCCTTTTCAAGGCCTCCTATTAGTATGGGAGTTGGGCTATCGAAAGATCATTGTCGAGGTTGACAATAAAAGTGTGGTGTCAATGGCGAATGGAGGTCCAACATAAATCCTTGGAGTTCATGCCTTCATGGTAGTGTGGTTCAGGCCATCCGGGAGCTGCTTAGCCGAGATTGGAAGGCTACAGTAACCCACTACTATAGAGAAGCTAATTTTGCGGTCGATTGTTTAGCGACTATAATGCATCAATATCCTAGTGGTTGTCAAAATTTATCAGACCCTCCATCGGTAGTTAAACTGTAGATACAACATGACTTCATTGACATTGTTTACCCGCGAAATATAATTACCTTATGTTCCTAGACTTTTGCCTCATCTCTTTGTACATCGCTTTTCTTTCTTACGCAAGCATTCTAAATTAATCTTATTTTGAACATTTTTTTATTTTGTGCAGGCTTGGAAAATGCACGAAATTGATTAATTTCTTAAATTAGCAATAAGAGTTGTTTAAATTATTCAAAAGTATCAAGGTGTTTTTGAGTTAAGTGAGAAATAACTAATGAAATACTCAATTGACAATATTTATTTATGTGAGATGGATTATTCATTACACACAAATAAAATGAAAACTCAACATACCACAAAAGTGCAAATACAACTAAATATCGAATGAGTACTTATAAATAATTGAAACTAAAAGCATCAATGCAATTGATATTATATTAATATCATAATACCCGTATATCTCAGAGTTACTAAAGCATAAATATTTCTATCCTCTGTATGTTTTAACATCATAACACATAAGTTATTTTTCCACCTAAATTTTCCACATTTATTTCAATAATAATTTCTGATTGAGATCGATTGTTTTGCTTTATTTCATTCAAGTATATATATATATATATATATATATATATATGGAGATTGAAAAGAGGATGAGATTGTTGCTTCAACTGAAATTAGCTATTAATGGTATACTGATTGCATTATGAGTTGTACCATTTAGAGTGCATGTGGAGAGGTTTGATTTAGGATGAAGAAATTAAAGTTATCAATTAATGTCTCAACAAAAGACATCAACATTTCAAAAAAAAATATGGTTCAAACAATATTTTCCCCTTTTTTAAATTTAAATTCATAATAATTTAATTAAAGAAAATGCTCACTCACGCATCGTAACATTACTGACTTATTATAGTCACACGCCAGGTAAAGATATCGTGACATAAATAGTTTATCATAGTCATACGTCGTGTAAAGATCTCGTGATTTTTTTGTCAACCTAATCTCCAACTCTGACGGGTGCAAGTTAAATGTAGACCTTACTCATACATAATTAATTAATATTAAAGATAAATAAACCTACTATATATAACACATAAATATCAACAAATAAATCTTGTATAAGTTGGTCTAACAAGTTTAATTTTTATGTTGTGAAATATCATTTTTTATTTATTTATATTTTAATATGACGTTTTAAATCTATATAAATATAAAAAGGTTTGACATTTACTTGAAATAGAAGTAAAAATCCCGCCCAAATGATTTGTTTTTACTTTTTATAGTAATTTTTTAAAAAACTTTTAAGAATTGGCGGATAGTTTTTGAAATTCAAATTAAAAAATGTCAATCAAATCTTTGTAAAAAATAAATTTGGTCAAAAATTGCGGCTCCATATTTATGTGTGCGGTATCACTGTTACTAATCGGCTCCATATTTATGTGTGCTCCATAATATGGAGTATATTGTATTGATTTGGCTGATATCGAACTACAAAGAAAATTAAATAAATAAATGTAAATGCTATACAAAATAATCAGGTCCACTCAAAACAAAATATCGTCCATGATCCTCGAAATTCCTTTGCGAGTAACCAAATCTGTAGTATAATCACAATTATATCAAACAAATATTTATATTAAAAAAGACGACTTATTACGGCGTATAACCAGGAAATTTAATATCAAGTTATTTTTACCAAAATATACATATATTGTGATGATGATGCTATATGCAGAAAATATCCGCAGGTACCGTGTTTATTTGTTAAAGATCCACAAAATTTTTTTACCAAAAAAAAGATCCACAAAATTTTAGAAATTCATATATATGCAACTATTTAACCGTTCATATATAAACACCTATTAGATGTATATCTTTCAATAATAGAATATATCAACTATTTTCACCCGGGATATAATTTTAACCAGAATCATATCAGAATGAATATAAATATAATTGTATATTGTCAACAAATAAAAAGATCTTGCAGCCTAATAAAATTTTTTCATCATGCCTATATAATGAATAAAAATTGACAGTGCGTGTTATTGAACCAAAGCCCAGTCCTTTTCTTTTTTTTTTTTTTTTTCCA